CCGCGAGTATTTCCGCTGTTCATCGGTTGGCGGAAGACATGTCGCTGCAACAAGTCTGCCATTGACTGAGTCGTCAACAGCCACATCGAGTCCTGGGACGACGAATTCCGGTAGCGCCACCGGAACGGAGTTCATCTCGTACTGCACTATCGGCGAGATGGAATCGATGCCTCTCTGGGGCATCTGATCAGGGCGATGAATCGTTGTCGCCTTGATCCCAGGGCCCTCGATCCTATATTTCTTCGGATCGTTTGCGGCTTGGTCAGCAGCGGTGCTGGCTGGGCGGACATCAATCGGTGGTCCGCGGGCTCCTGAGAGCACAGCCCCTTGGGCAGCCACTGGAACGCACGCCGTGTTCCGGAGGGTTATCGGTGGTTCGGGCAGCAGAAGGCGGGGCCTTGCCGGGGACCTCGTCTTTCTGCTCCTCCCCGTCACCCATCTTATCATCCTCTTTGGGCTCTTGTCCAGCCGAGTCGTCTTCCATCTCCTCGTCATCGCCACCTTCCTTTGCGGCCTCTTCAGACGCCTCCGGAGGCTGATTCGCAGAAGGCGGTGGCGGAGGATCCTCGGATGGCGGAGGAGGCGTCGCAGCACGATCCGATGTGTCACCGGTCGGCGCAATTGATGGTTGATCGCTCTCCAACGCTCCGTCGCCCTGGCTGCTCACAGCACCAGAGCCGTCGCTGCGTCGCGACGAGGAGGCAGCAATTGATCGAGCGTGCCTCCGGAACTCCTGCGAGAGGAATCCCGCAGTGCTGCGCATTTGCATGGCAACAGCTTGCTGAAACTGAGATCATCGATCGTCCCCAGTTCGGCCAGTGCTGCCATAGCTCATATCGTTCGTAAGACCCATCAGGCTTTGCACTGGGTCTTCGTCGGGCTTTCGGAACTGTGTCACCCGACGTTGCATGGCGTAGCCAGCCGGCAGCTTAAGGTCTTCTCTCGTTATCCTAGCTGCGGTGTTGTTCACCATGGCAACACGCATGGACTGAATGACCTTTCCAGGAGAAGGCGCAATGAGGTCCGGCCAATCATCGGCGGTCGGAGCCTCAAGGTCCTCTGGCTTGAACATCATCTGTTCGAAGGCCATAGCGCCCATGCCACGGTGTCGGATAGCGATCTGCAACGACTGGTAGGTATTGAGCAGCGCTCGTGCAATACCGTACGTCGAAGGGATGTGCGGATGGAACACCGGAAGTGTCGCCACACTCGCAATCGCTGCATCAAGGTTGGAAATGATCGCTCCAACCTTGGCTTCCAACTCCCCCCTGTTTCCGAATTCAGGGGTCCATCGGGCATCGATAGCCGACACAGTTTCACCCGTATCGCGGTTGACAAGCACAGGACTGAATCGGTCGCTTGCCATCTCCCGGATGAGGGTACTGTTCGACTCCACCCTCCGTCTGCCCTGAGCCAATCGGTTAGTGACTGCGTCCAGCGCATAGTCACCCGGAGGGTAAAGCGCGCCCTGAAACACATTGTCTTCGTTTGTGTTCGGGTCAATCACTTTGGCAAGTCCTTCGGCAATGATTCGGAGGTGCTCGGCACCTTCGACACCGGTAGCGCCCTTCGCCTTTTCGGCAATCATTGTCTTCACCTGCGAGGCTTGCTCGCGACGCGCCTCAGCTTCGCTAACAAAGCTTCGGGAGTAATGCGCGTATTGCTGACGACCTTCGGCGGAAGGGCCGGAAGCCTCCTCACCACCAATCGGCTTAGGTCTGCTTTTCTCGCCGGAGATCGGGAGCGACGGCACTGCCGGAGGGCGAGCTGCATCGCGATTGGCAGCCACAACCTTCTCAGCGTCACGAGGCGTGGGCATGCGCTCGAACGCATCTGTCATGCCGGAGAGGAGTTCATCAAACTCAGGATCGGTCTCCGTTTTCTCCGACATCGCCGTGTCTCCGTCTCCATCCTTCTTGTCATCGCTGGAGTCACTGCCGGACTCATTGTCATCGTCACCGGCAGTAGGAGCAGCAGGGGGCGAAACAGGCATAGGCATAGCCTGGCCAGGCACGGGAGTCTCCGGCAATTTGATCGGATCCGGATTCCGCACGCCGGGGAGATCTCCCAGAGTGCTCGGCTCTTGCTTGACGGTCTCTTGTTTGATCGGGACCGTTGGAACAGATGGGCCAGCATCATCGGCCATCTCTTCCTCATCATCAGCGAAGCCGAGCTGACTTTGATCGAAGGTCTGCGGGGCACCGTGATCGGCCCCGCGGTCCTTCGCATCCAGGAGATCCTGGACGGAAGAGTGCACGATAGCCTTCTTCTCGCCTTTGGGCTTATCGTCTGGGACCGGGGTCCGCGCCCACATCTTCTCGGCTGCAGTCTCGAAGTCCCGAGGATTATCGTACGGTGGGAATCGCGCGAGAGCCGCAAGCGTGAACATTGAGCAGATTCGGGTGCACAGTGCCCCGATGGTCTTGGACTCGTGCATGATGGAAAATCCTTTCAGGTACGGAAGCCCCTCCAGGATTGCATCAAACGAGAGGGTAAGGAAGTTCGACCTCCTGACCGTGTCCCAGATCGACCTCATCTCCGTGCGGTACTTCTCAAAGAGAGCGCCGGGAAGAGTCGGAAGGAAGACCATGCTTGGTGACGCCGGCCCACAGAGGGACACCGAGCCATAAATCGTATTGAGCTCTTCGATTGCGTCCCGAGCCTTCGTCTTGGCGTATTTACATCGTGACTCGTTGATGTTGCCCATGAGCTTGGTCCATCCCTGATCCAACTTCCATAGGTCAGCTCCTCTCCATAGCAGGAGAATGTGCACGTTAGATCTCGGGATGCTGGTTTCGCTCTGCATCAGCTCGATGGTCTCAATCATCTTCTCGAGCGTGAAGCAGTCCGGTTCCTCAACAGCAAACACGCGCACGTCAGGATCCTGGAATCCGTACTTGATCAGCGCATTCGTCAGGTGCGTGTTCATGTCACCGGTGTGCCAGTTCGTTTTCGATCGGAACGAGAGCAGACCGTCATGCATGACAACAAACCTCTGCCGCTGATTGGGGTTCGCCGGTTTCGTCGTTGGCGGAGCTCCCCCATATGCGAGCGTAGATGCCATCGTTGTGACAGTCCTGACGCCGTGGATCCCAACCGCCACTAAGGCATCGGCGGGACTCCACGCGGGCTTGGCAAGGATATCTGTCGTGTCATCTTCATCGTAGAGAATGCCTTTGGCACTCCTGGCAGGCGTAAAGCCGAAATTGCCAAACGCGCCACTATAGGCCTGTCGGTAGTGCAGGCACCAGGCATCCCACTCTTTGGATGGTCCCCCGGCGATCATGAAGAGCTTCGAAGGTTTCGGCAGCCCCTGACCTCCACTCTCCCCAAAGGTAGGGGCTCTCATCTGGAAGAAGGGGGCAACCTCAAAACGATAGCTCGACGCTTGAAGCTCGGATTGCAAGCCATAGCGGCCACCGACAGTGGCATTCTCAGCCGTTCCCGTCCCCTCGGGCATCCATCGGTTCCGTTTCAGGACGGAAGGGTGAACGGTAATTCGCTCGGGCTGTTCCTCACCACCCGTCGCAGCTTGATCCGCAGACCCGGCACCTTCTGAAGGCTTGGCATCGGTAGCCTTAGAGGACTCCTCGGTGTTGCCACCAGGGATCGGAAGATCAGCAAACTCAACGGAATTCGTTCCGAAGACGTTTCCCAGCATCTTCAGAATGCGAGGGTCAATCGGATTCGCCTCCATCCACGGATGCCATGCGCAAGATGTCTTTCCATCCTCGCTGAGAAATCGATGTCCGTGGATGACGTACTGCGGGGAGGTAGACACTCCATGTTCGCGGTCATCAGGGAGACGGAACGGGCGGAATGCAATCCCACACAGCTCGAGAAACTTCGTTCCGACTCGGATCTGCTTCCTCGATCCTCCCAGCCCCTTCGTGGTCCGGGAGTGGGTGTTGACCAGGGTCTTTGAAACGCAGACCATGACTTGGAACCAATATCCTGCCCCAATGTACGTGCCGGAGGCGTAGCTACTGGCAGCTTCAGAGGCACTGCCAGTAACCCATACGCAGGGTTCTTGGGTTCCGTGGTCGTCAGTCTCGTAATTCTCACCAAACAGACCACCATGGGCAAGAATCGACCAGATGTATCGGAGATTCGTCCCATGAAGGAACGTATCCTTTGGGTCGTAGATGTCCGAGTTCATCGCTGGGACATACACCCATCCGTCGGTGGGTTTGATGGTGACCTGTTGCGCACCGTCTTCATAAACCATCGGGGCGGCAACAGACCAGTTGAGCGTGTCATCAATGCTGACACATCGCTCGGGAAATGCCTCCGCCAGAGCCCTCATGTATGAGGGCCAGCCGCGCAGCAACGGGGTGTTTTCATCGTCATCCTCGTTGCTAAAGGCGGACACCTCTCCGATTCCATTGGCATCCACGGCAGGAGACTCGTAGCCGTGTTCCTTTCGGTCATCCTCAAGGTGCTTAGCTTGCTCCTTCAGGGAATCAATCGTAGGGAATCGATTGAGGGCCTTCAGCGCCAGGAACGACCCCGGGAGATACGACAGAGTAGGACGGAGCTGCAGGAAACCCCTGAAGAGCTTCGCTGCTTCGTCCTGGTTGATCGTCTCCGCGGATCGCTGAATAGGCGGCAGGGTCATGAGATCATTGTGCGAGAGACTCGTATCGGTTCTCAGCCACCGCTGGTGGGCATTGTAGCTACTGTACCCCATGAGGTTTCGGTTCCAGTTCGCAAGAGGCGATGGAATGTAGCTTTCGCCCATGAGGCAGAGCGTATCGTAACTCATCACCTCACGGATTCCCTTGAATTTGTTCGCCTGGAAGTGCATACAATGACGCACAAGGGATATCGCCAGGCTCATCTTCTCGGGAGCACCTTCATCATCACCCGATAGAGTCGCCACACGGGCGAATGTCAGAGCGGACATCACTTTGTATCGGTCAAACAGATCCATAAACTCGGAAGGAAACTGTTTTCTTTGCTTGTCCGCAAGCGGGTGCATGCTGAAGATGAACGACTCAATAAGCTTATTGAGCTTCCCATCGGCCCCGTGGTTGCATGTCAGCTGGCCGAGTCGTTGCCAGATAGTAGCCTCCGGGATCTCCTGGACACCGAACTTCAGCATCATGGCTTTCATTCTGATCTCCATTGGGATCTCAGCCTTGACGCCTCCGGTAGACTCATCTCGGGGAGTCAAGATCGGAACCGGTGCGTCAGTGGTACCCATTTGGGTATCGTCATGCTCCGAGGGAATCGGTGGAGCAGGCGGCCTTCCTCCGGCGGGTGCAATCGGACCCGCCGGAAGACCCTCATGGCAATCGACCTTTCGGGCTGGCGACTTCGGTTGAGGTGATCGGGAGGCCGAAGCCTTGGCAGCCGCCTTCTTCGGAGTCGGCGGCTGCTTGTTCTTCCCCATCGTCAGCGGCGGAGGCAGCAGCGGCACAAAGGAGTTCGCGGCCCGTGGCAGCTACGACCTGTCCTAGCAGGGAGCGCAAGTGGGCTAAGGTTCGAGTCGTAGTAGAGGTGGTCTGTAGTGGTCGGATGTCCTTGGTGATCTATGATCATCGTTCCTTGAGCTTCATTCTTCGGTCTTCTTAAAGTGTAGAAGTACAGGTGTGAATGTGTGTGTGTGATCATGGCCTTAGCGTCTTTGTTTAAGCAATCGGCATCGCGGATTGCTGTGAGCCAAGGGCCGCAGATTTCATGAAATGATCAAGCACAGCCCACAACGCATGTCGAAGCTCCTTCGGATCAGCCTTCTTGGCTTTCTTATGGTTACATGCAAAGCGT